TCTTCCAAACATTTTTTATCGCCACCCCATCACATCCTCTTCACATTCAAAGTTTTCGTAAAATTATGCGACCCAGAAAGTAAAATATTTGACAATTAGCCCATTTTTATTGCAAAATACAGGCTTGCCTATCGATAATCCCACCATAAATGTGGAATTCGAGAGACCCAGAATGAATAAAACTTTACTCAAGATTGACGAATGGACTGGTAAACTACTTACTAGGAATATAATTAGTGTATTTTATTGTTGTGAAAAAACAAGAATCTGCCTCTTCGATACTGGGATAGCTCTCTTAATCAATATTGGCTGATGGTCTTGAAATCTACTTATTATGAATATGAGTAGTGTAGTCTATTTTAATAGTAAAAGAAGAATTTGCTTCATTTACCGTTGCACTATAGAATTGCTTTACGTCTGCCCACATGCTCGATTTCCTTCACTCTGTCCGTCGAGTGTTAATTTCGCCTAATTTTCCTGTTGATTTGGTCTCTTTCAGCTACGAGAAGCCTTTCTGGAACAGCGTCGTGAGATACAACGGCTCCGCAAGGAGCTGTCCGACAAGGACTCTGCGATCGCCCACCTCGAGAGGGACATTCGACTCTACGAGCCCTGGCGCTAGGCTGCCTCATTATTGGAGCCCGGTCCATTGTCGGCCCTACTCCCTCCACTCTGGCGCTAATCCCCTCACCTCCTCCATCCCCAACACAACCACAACAGTGCCCACAGACTGACAGACAGGCAGACAGACCAACAGGCAAACAGACCGACAGCTTTCTGCAATCGGCTCGATCTCTCCCTCTTGCCCAGCAGCCCCAGTTGTGCTGGTTGGGCATCCTGTAGGGCCTTGGCTCCGAAGCCCCCTTTCACACCCTCCCACCTCCGCTTTCCGACAAATCTTCTTCCCAAATCGGACGGTACCGCAAGTGGAAAAGTGCCCGTTGTCCTCATGCCTCCCACCTGCCAACTCGACGTTGCAAGCCTCGTACAATTCTACCGTTTTCATTCTTCTCTTGCCAGCATGATTTTTATTTTAGCTCTTGTATGTACCGATCTATTTATCCTCATTTATTTAACGTAACATTTTCTCGAAGACCCTTGTCTCATATACGTCTTCGCCCACGCAACAGTACACACATGCACACTTACACCTTCTTTATAGCTTCGTTTTTTGCTTTCACGCTTCTCTATTTCATCATCTCCTTCCGTGTACGGTTCACAGAGCCCAAGACACAAGCAATTATATCCCATGTGTATCTATCTATCTATCTATCTATCTATTTATCTATCTATCCATATAATTGTTCATTTATTCAAATAACTATTTGCATAATCTTTTAGACTGCTTGGTCGCTCGGCATCTTGACTTTTTTTCGAAACTGCCGACGACGCTTTACACAGCAGCAACATCGGCAGCCGATGTTGTTAATGCTGTTGCTGTTGCTGTTGCTATTGCTGTTGCTGTTGCTGTTACTGTTAAAAAGAGCTTTTTTAGCGCCTTCACTTTCGGCGGAGCCCAACAATCAAAAAGAGACTATTCAGCTTTTCGCTCTCTTTCCGCTTACATGGCAACCGGAGTTTCGATGCTGCCAGAAGTCACGGGAGCCAAAGCCGAGCCCCCTGCCTGACACAGGCTCCCGCCACCTCCTTCGTCTGTCCATTACCGCAAATCCTCTGCCTTTCACTTGCCTTTCGAGGATTGACGCCCCATCGCCGCGTCCATGTGCCTTGCAACCCTTTTGCCGGCTTGCATCGTCCGTCTTTTGGCCTCTCCCTTCCGACCATTTTCCATCCCCCTCCCCCAATCACATCCTCTTCACGCTACGCCACACCACCTCACATCACATCATATCACATCACATCACATCACATCACATCACATCACATC